AAAAAATAATAATAATCGATGAGATGGATGGATAGATAGAGACTTTAGATGATATCAATGAGCCTACTCTCGCATTAATGGTGCAATCGACAGCTATGAAAAATCCCATTAAAGGCCATCTCAGTGTGGTTCTCTGGTGTTTGTGGTAGAGCTCAGGGTCCTACCTTGGCCTGATCCTGATTTCTCATTTATGTGTCTGGTGACCGAATGGACATACAACCGTTTCTCCACGCTCCCAGTCCACCTCCCTGTCGAAGATCACCGGCCTGAAAAAGTCAAAATCTCTATACAAGCACATTCAGCCACAAAAGACACCCACGCTCCAGCAGAAATCTGAGTAGGGTGAAAGCAAAGCCATCTCAATATACATGGGCCTACAGACACTGAGACACAGAAAGGCAGGCAGGTAAAAATATGGGACTATCATCAAGGATACACAGTTGCCCTTACCAACCAAAACCTCCATTGTGTTTTATATGGTCATACTGCTCCCCCTAGAGGTGACAGAGGCAACTATACCTTTGTCTCCTCACAAGGCCTCTGTTCTCCTTTGGGCTTGGCTTGGCATTGTGCTCTGACAGAGGAGGCGTAACTGGTTTACTGCTGGAGGTGTGCTGACTGGGATCAACCACAACTGATTTCACCTTGAGAAAGAACAAAGGTTGTGTGTGAGAACTTACAGAATACACACTGTACTGTACACATGATAAACACGACTGCAGGACCATATCGGGGGGGGGGGGGGGTGAAACAGCTTACCTGTACTTGTAGAGGTAACGTAGTTTCATAACTGTGTCTATGTGTCGTCTTCTCCAAGTGTGGCCTGACACTTACAGACTCACTCAAACCTCCCTGCATCTCCTCTGACGCATGTCTACTCGGTTCACTACCGGCATTCAACTTCACTGTGACACTGTGACACACTGAGGATTCAAACGTGGGGGGGCCAATATTCCACTCCTCTTCAACATCTCCATCTAAAAGCTCCACAGGCGAGTTCACAGACTCCAACAGCGGATCACTTACAACAAGACACGAATCACTGACTGTAAAGGAAACGTGCTGTCCGGACAAAGCAGCTTGTTTATGACAATCTGTCTTAGAAGAACTTTCAGCATGGCGCTCATCATCTGGTGCTTTAACATCACCTATCTTGAACATGGGGCTCGAGGTAGCTGGATGGCACTGAGTGCATACTGAATCAGAGGGGTCCTTTCCTAATTCCTTTTGTAGGACATGGAGATATAACCTATGTCCTCTTCTACATCTCTTACATTCTCACACACGACTTCTTCAGCTCCTCTGTCCTTTCCCCACTCGCCCATCTCCTCTCTCTAACTCTTGTCTGTGTGCCACAGTGGAAATTAAGACTGGCTTTTTTTGAAATGGGTTGCTACTTGGACTTTTGCAGCTCTCGACATTCAGACAATCCTCCAGCAGTACAAATACCAAAGGGATTGAGGCACAAGATGTCGTCAACATCACAGTCAAAGGCAGGTGCCGAATTTAAGAGGAACTTCTCAAACTTCAAACTTTGTGGTCCAGTCCCCTTACTATCACCTGTCTCTGTTGAAGACCCACGTTCCACATGCTCAGAGTGTAGCTGAGAGCTCTCAGTTTCTTTTATTTCACCCCAAATAGCTTTTCTATCCAACAATGCAGGCTTAGAGACGGCAAAAGGTGACACAGAATCCTGTTGTGCAGGAGAGCTGCAATATTCCATGAAACACCGTCGTCTGGGGACAAAGCCTTTGGACTAGAGGCCTTTTTGCTGGAGTCTCATAACCATCATCGGGACTGGAATCATCTAATTTCCTTTTTGCAGCGCAATATTCACTACCTCAATTTAAAATTAATAAATGGATTACAAACATTTTCGGGCAATGCACACTGGCCTTTGGGTCACAAGTGATCATCCTTGAATATACAGAAAGAGGTTTCAAGTGCTGGAATTTGGGTGGAGTGAGCCTATTGAAAATGGTGTCTGTTTTAAAAAAAAAAAAAAAAAAAAAAAACATACATCAGATAGTCAGTTAAATTATGTATTTCAAGGAAAGCAAATATATGTCTGTTCACTTAAGAAGAACAAGATGATCCCCTAATAAGACAGCTCATCAGTCCAACATGGCTTTAGCTCTACTCACCTTTGACTCTATGTGCCATGTCCACCACCTCTTCCCTTTCGAAGCCACTCTTCATTTTCATCAAAGCCCAGCGTCTGAAAGAAAGAAAACAAACTGTCTCACACAAACAGTCATCCTCTGAGCTACCAACAAAAGACAATGAGTCTTTACTACTCATCAAAAAGGCTTTTTGATAACAGTCAGATGGAAATAGTGTTTTCTAACAGTGTCTCTCTCAAAAGTAAACAGGCTACTTTGCGTTGTAACATCACCTTGTTATTATTCGATTTTAATGCATGTTCAGACTGACTGAGCAAAATACAATGCTGGTTCAGGGTTCATGTTTAAACAGACTTGTTCCTTGGAGGCCTCATTAAAAGAAGTGCATGAATACCCCAAACACTAAATCTGGACTCAATTAGGGCAGAAATGCACATTTGCTATACATTATATTCACAAACTCATGATGTGCAGCCAAGCTTGGGTCAAACCCAGGGGTTTATAATCAAATCAAAGAAGAAAAAAAAGATAAAAACAAATCGTTTCTAAAAATACCAGATACACAATGTTGATTCTTCACATTTAAGGCACTTATCACACCTTCTGTGGGCCAAACTCTCGCTACAGTGCATCTGGTAAGTTGTGCATCCTTGTAACTTGTATGTTATGTACTAACGTTACATTATTTTCGCGTAACAGCTAAAAGTTTCAGGGTTAACCTGTCATGAGTTTTAACTTCTGGTTAACTAAATTGTTTCCCTCAATGTAAGGTTAACGTCAGCTTTAAGTTTGTAGCTAACTGAAGCCCAGTACTTTTTAGCACTACGCTTGGTGATGTGAAAAATTAGAAGTCGCACTTAAATTGCAAACGTCATTATAATGTTACGTACCTTGATAACAGTAAGAGTTCCCAACATTCTAAGCAAACCTATTTTTTACTCAAGGTCGTGCAAAAGACGGTCTCAGCGGTAGAAAGACTCGGCGGGCATTAATGCTAGCAGCAATACTTTCTTCAGACTTTAGGTAATGTTAGCTAGCTAGCGTCAGGAACTTAACGTGACTCATACTTTACGAAAGAGATCACTTTATGCGAGACAAATAAATTCAGTATAAATGTCTTACCAGTGTGTAAGATCACTAAAATAAACTTACCAAAAGGAGCTCCTTTTGAAAATCAACCAACCGAAAAATCTACCTTCCGCTCAATCACACGCGCTTCAGTCTCCAGGCCACGCGCGGCACGCAGGTAATTAATACAAGAACGTGTATACGGAAGTCAAATATGGGGGGCGCTGTTAAAATTCAAACATTAAAAACTTACTTTTATTTGTTCGGCTATTAGCGGCCTCTGAATTTACCAAACTCGCCATTTTCGCTGGATTTAGAAGATCAGCCATCGCCTACAAAATATGAAATTTTACAAATGACCAGGAAACAAGAGGAACAGTGAAAGCTGTCTAAAGTATTTTGCTCTGTATGAGTTTGAGAGTGCACTTGTTTGCGCATGCTGAACAGCATGGAGTCACACAACAATGCAAACAAAAACAGCATGATTTCTGAAGGATTTAATGATTATAGGCCATTTCATGGTAAAGGATAACGTTACTTTTAGGGAGTGGGGACAGGTTACAAATGCTATTTTTCAGTGTTTTAGGTAGTTTTTATTAATGTTTAAGTTTTATTATTGCATTGCAATTAGATCAATGTACAGGACACTTGGTTTAATAATAAAATGTATTTTGAAGTTCATTTTCATGCACTCTCTATGTCCTGGGTACGGAAATGGCACGGTTTCAGCAGAATGTCCCTATTAGAAGCAAGTTGTCTTGAGTACTTGGGCTGAGGCTCAGTGAAAATATGCTTATATTTGTGACTTTTATTATATCCAGTTTACAATGTGCGTGCAGATACACTTGAAACAATATGTACAGAAGGACAGCTTGTGTAGGCACAGCTCTACATGTATTTGAATGCTCTCTCATAAGTCTACTAATTCTTTGGATCTGGATCCCTTCAAACCTCTTATTGAACCAATGGTCAGTGTTCAGATTTTGAAGATTATAAATAACAAAACTCAAAAGATCCAGAGGCATTGAATAGCCACATTGCTGACTTCTGCTGATGGCAACATCCATGCCTGGTCTTTATTAGTAAGGGGGGTCTGTTAGGAAAGTTCAGGCAGTGAATGATGAAGATGCAGTCATTACCACCATGTTGACTGGTGACTGGCTGACTGGGGATAGTACCGGAAAGATTTATCTGTGGGACGTTCTGGGATTTAGGTTTAAAAAAACAGCAGACAAAGGGCCATTTGAGGATATGAAAGGTTGGCGTGTGTCGTTGTATCCACCTCCTCTGTTGGGCTCCTAGTGATCTCTTCACACTTCACAGGGATGTGTGTAAATGTGACCCGCTTACCGGGTTGGATGCATTGTCCGGCTAAGGACAAACACAGGCAGCTGCATAGGCCTCTTTGGAAGAGACAAATGGGATGCTACGCAACTCAGCCATGAGGAGAATGCTGACCAGGAGCAGGCAGGAGGCAGGCACAGTAGAGACATGAAACAAATGCCATTCCCTGACTCTCCAGGGTCATCATCACCTACATCACCACTACCAAATTTTAAAGACCTCTATGACAGAATTGAATGGGAAACCACAACACCTAAAATACACAGATTCTAACTTCTGAGCAACTGGAGTATATCAATAGCAGCAAACTTTAGCCAGGAATTGACCAAATACAGTGAATATATCCACCTGCTACATCTCCTTATTGAAAGTGCGACAAGAACTCTACACAGCAATCTCCTAGTGAGGCCCAGCAAGGGTCTGAAAATACATAATCACCATGTCCCCAAACACCACACCAACCACATGGCTGAGATCTGAGCAAAGCTCTCCTCAGACAGCATCCCCATATTTGAACCAGACTAGGTCCAAATATGGACATGTGCTCCATCATTCAGCAGAGAGACATATCGTACAATCCGCAAATATATCCAGAATCCACAAACATATTAAGATATATATTAATCAGAAAAACAGAGACTAGAAAGAAACCACCAGGAAAAAGCTATCATAAATACAGATTCATTTTCTACATGATAACATGTAATTTGTAATTTTAATTCTAGAGCATAATCCTCATATCAAAGTTTGGATCGCAGGGATACAACACATCAAATGTGAAAATTCAAAATAGCTCTCCGCGGCTTGTGTCAATGTCCACTCTTGTTGGAAATAATTATCACTCAAGGTGGTAAAATATAATCACAAATTGTGAAATGCATGTCTGCAAATTGTATTTTGGCATGATAACACTTGAATGTCGTGAAATGATTCCCCCCTTCACAGTGGACCTTAAGCACAAGTCCATATCTCACTCTACATTCAATATCTTTAGTAATTGGAAAAATCACTCATAGTTTAGTCATTCAAGGTGAATCTGTTTCAGATGTTTTCATTGTGAAGCACTATCAGTTTAGTCACACTAAAAAACAAAACCCTCAAGCAGCGTTTGCCGGCAAACTTAACAAACTTTAGATTCTGAAAAAATGTGCAAGAAGTTTGAGTGGCAGCAAACAGAATCTTATTCTAAGAATAAAATAATCTTCACAAAATCTGGGTGCTCCCTCAATGGGGATCATTATTTCTAAGCAGATATGTGGCCTTGGCCCACTGCCTACTTCCCTTCCCTTCTACCCATGAGTGCTGTTTAGGTTTTCTAATCTTCACCTCACTCAACAGTTTCAAAGAGTTTCTTCAGGAATGCCATAGGATAAGAGCTGTTGCTGGGGAATCAAGAGTTTACTTGAATTCTCAGAAGGTCCAAGAATGATCAAAATAGGATCTGGAATTATCTGACTTTTATGTACCTTTGAAACAAGACCAAATATTTGTTTCCAGTTCTCCTGTATTTGGGGACATAAGTCTGCGTCTGAGGACCTGCACACTGAAGAAACTTCTGAGAATATTTTGTGCAACTTTATACTAGTGCCCCTAAATGAAAAAAGGGGCAGTTTCTTTTTAAGAAATAAAGGACAGGCATGCATTGTGGTTTATGAACGTATCCCTTTTCAACCAGCTTATCACTGTAAACATCCTGGAATATTCTGAGAGGAATATTCTGACCAGCCAACGTCTGGGGACAAAACACTTGGTTTAAATGGCTTTTTGCAGGAGTCTCATACTGTCATCTGTATGGTGAGTTTGTTTTCTAGATGAGAGTGTGTGTACTTGTGTATCCATTCGTATCTCTTCTGTGCACTGCAGGGAGGTAGCTAGAGCACAAGCTTTCATTGCACTGCTTCTAATGCATGACAATAAATTTGAACTTGAACCATTGCTTCACAAAAAGTAATTTGACAAGTCCAGTTTTGATGAAAGCCTTAATTGCAACATGGGTCGAGGCACAAGACGCTGTCAACATTAGAGAAGCATAATTTAAAAATCCATTATATTAAATGTGCACATTCTCAGTCTCTTTAAATAAAAGTATGTATGTATGTATGTGTAACAGCAGCCTTGTCAATGTTTACCTCGCAAAATGAACTGTTCTCAACATATCCATTTAATTACATCTCACATACTGTACATATACACACTTTCTTCAGCGTCATGTTGCTCCTGTTCATGTTGTCCTTCTGTGGTCATGTTGTTGCCGGAGCACCACATAACCACTAGGCAGCAGCAGTAAGAGGACTTGGCAGCAGGGAGAAGGTGGGAAACCTTACTGGTTACTTGGCAGAGGCTTCACATTAGCACTCAAAGGTGTCTTTTTGTGCAGTGAAGTTCTTGTGTGTCCAGTGTGTCCTTTTACTCCTGTTTGCCCAGGGACAGGCACTCTTCCGTTCAGGACGTGGGGGTTAGAGCGAGTCCCATCGAGTCTGGAGGAACAACATTTGTAACATGTAAAAATGAGTAATGTTAATTGATGACAAATGATAAAAATGTCTAAATATTGAGAGAATCAGATGACATTTAGACATAAACCTTTAGAAAGTAATAAGGTAAAAATCTGAATTAACTTACTCTGTCTAAATCTAGTGTGTATACAACTACTACTACAACTACTTAATCTCGTAGTACAACCCTGTGTTGTAAAATGATAAATAAAACTACCTTGTACCTTGTCCCTAACGAAATCGTTATACAGTGCTCTGATGTAATTTTAATTAAAAAGCCAGTACCATTTCCATTAGTAATGCATGTCCAGTACACTCCCTCACTGAGTGAGTGATTCAGGTCATTTGTTTGCAATAGGAATTGGGTGTGTCAGTATGTTGTTCAGGACAGCAAATACACATCTTCCACTTTTGCTGGATTTGGGTGAGAGATCACATGTCAAGCTACATATCACGTCACAGCTATGCTTACCTCAAAGACTCACTTGACCTAGAGTAACACTAACAGAGAAACGGGGATGACTAATGAATGAATGAATGAATTATAAGATGTCTTTGGTGGTAAACAGTTTCAGATGAAGCTCATTTGAAAACTTGTGCATATAGGCATGAAGGTAAGATGAGGGTTTAGATACATGCAAGTACATCATGTCCTGTCATGTCATGTCATGTCAAACGCTTGTTTTTCTTTACAAGGGGAAATTCCCACATTGCACAAGCATTGTTTCCCGTAAGTGAAATATCTCTCTCTCTCTCTCTCTCTCACACACACACACACACACACACACACACACACACACACACACACACACACAGATTCTCAATCCAAACAATGACTTCTGAGTTACGATTAGTTCATGAAGTTTAGAGTTCCCACAAGTCTGGACACTTTAGTTTTGGTAATATATCACTGTCCAAAACAACAAATGAGGTTCTGTTGTGAGGAAGCCTCGACCACATCCTGTCTCAACAATAAGCAGGTTGAATGACCTTCAATTCAGCTTCTTACACACTTTTAAGCAACTATTCAAAATGAGTAAAAGACGAGGGTCAATATAAATGCACACAGAGTCGTATTTGAAAACAGCCCATGGTGGGGCGGTTTGATTAGGTTGGTCCAAAACTTTGGTCCAGACTGAAATATCTAAATATCTATAAAATGGACTACAATGACATTGTGTACAGGGTGAATTATAATACCTTTGGTGAGCCCTTAACTTCACAATGTTACTTTGTGACCAAATTCCTGCAAAGCTAATGACATTCCCACTTGTGTATGTTGCTAATATTATACTAAGTACTCTTAACCATTACACCAAGATGATTGACATGGTAAACAAAATACCTGTTAACATCAGCACGTTAGCATTTTCCTGATGAACGTGTTAGCATGATGATAGCCCTTCTGTGTCTAAATACAGCCTCACCGAACCGCCATTATGGCTGTAAGTCTTGGGAATTGATTGATTATGACAAAGTCACTGCAGGTGATAAAGTTTAGTAAAAACTTTTCTTTGTCAATACAAAGAAAAAAGTTTTGTTGTGTGCCACTTAACTACATTTGCTTATCTGTGACCACATTCTATTACATAACACACAACAGTAAGCCTGTTTCTCTTTGGCTGAACAGGTCACACCCCCATGATCACACCATGTTAATGTAAGATTCATAACATGTAAGGTAATAGTTTTAACACCTGTGCACCTTTCCCTGTGAGATAGCTGCTGCAAAAAAACTTAAGTTTGTGTCACACCACAAGACTTGACCAAACCTCACCCACCTTTCATTGGTTGAGGAAAATTGCCCCATATTAGGACACACCTTCTTACTATAAACAGCCTACAGCTACTGTATTTGACAACAATAAAAACTCCTTTTTGTTTTGTTTTATAGCAGCTTTTTAATGCTTTTTTTTTTGACAAAGAAAGCACATCACAGTGACACAGCTGGAATAGAGTGCTGATACAAAAACATGATTTGACGAATGATATAAATTACAAATTTCATTAAGCAGGCACGGTTAAGACAAGGACTCATGATGTACAATTTAAGACCATAATGTCTGGACCACCTCACATAATAATGCAATCCAAGAACTTTATCTTCACTATCTCTCGCTCCACAACAAACGTGTATTGGATAGAATTATATTTCACACATTATTGTATCCAAACCCTGTAGTATATTTATAATTAGTGTATAAAATTATATATATATATATATACACACACACACATACATACATACATACACACATACATACATACATACATACATACATACATACATACATACATACATACATACATACATACATACATACATACATACATACATACATACATACACACACACACACACACACACACTATATATATATATTTTTTTTTTTTAAATTTATTTATTTATTTATATATAAATAAATATCTATCAGGTATCATTTAATATTTCACTTATATTTAGTGTATTTCCAACAATAAAGATCTATATGAATATATATACAATTTGTTTAAATTAATATATTTCAAAACCATATTATCTCAGATATTATATTTTTCAGACTGTTACATTTGAAACTATCTGTACGTCTCTGTGCGAGTAATGACTGAAAAGGGGCTTACTGTAATGCTACAGGACACTGAAAGGGCACTCTCTGGTACTGCATTACAAGTCTCGTAGCTTCCACAGCTTTGGTTCAAGTTAACACCAGTACAGGGTCCTGACTGGTCCTGACTTAAGTCGAAAGTGATAAAACATCTATAGTTTCCCTGACTCACATGAATGTACACATGATTGTCCTTGAGTGATTAAACAGTGACGGTAACACAATGTAAACTGTGACATGAATGCATAAGATAAATAAGATTGCTAAAATATGGATTAAAGAGGGACAGGAGAAACATGGTTCCCTACAGAAAGGCACACAGCTACTAAAACAATGTACGGAAGACAATTTAAAAAGCATGAATATAGTTTTCAGTAGATTTAAAAAGGTGCTACACATTATATGCTAAGAAACTACTCCAGATGACGGTATACTTTTACATACTTCATGATAATAAACAGAGTTACAATGAAACTGGAAGGCGCATTCTCAGGCACAGTATCAAATCATGTAACCGATTAAATGGCAAGATGAATTTGATTAAATCACAATATCTTAGAAAGGTGAAAATAAGACGGTCTTTCTACTCTTTCCCCGCCTCCACATCAGATGCATCTGGGTCAACGCTCTGTTTCGTCACAACAGTGTAGATGCATCCCAGTTGGCTGCATATAATGACAACAAAGCATTATTTAAAACATATGAGATGGTGGCAATGCATGTCACTTTATATACTGACGTAATAAAAAATACCTGCAAGTTTTGTGTTTGGAGTACAGAAAACCAAGGAACATCAGCACCACCACCGCTAGCAGAAAGATAATGAGAACCACAATACTAGGTATCCAGTAACGGGTCTCTGTCAGGTAAAAAAAGAGAGTTTCACAGTTAATCTACCAACAGACAATATTTTATTATATTTCAAAAGTCCAACTGTTCATTCAAATAACACAGTTATTACATTAAATAACCATTTTCTTTTAGCTTACTACAGTGCATGCACAATTCGACTGTAATGGGAGTCGTGTGGCCCTCTTACACTCATGTATATAGAACACAAGCAATAACCAATCTGTGGGATGCAAATGGGCTTAAACATGCAGTCATTGAGCAGAAATGAATAAATCCAAGCATTTATCCTGTACTTTACTGCTCTAACCTAAATGGTGATAAGAGTGACGGTTAACTTGTCTACAAAGTGAGACAAATAGTGGTGCCCCAGGCCTGAAAAAGGCATTCTTTGCGTTTGGAAAAGCCAGTGTAACTTTTGAAATGACAACTAATTAATTAACTGATATTAAGATATGAAACTTTTTATCGTGATAACATTTTTGGCCATATCGTCCAGCCCTACTGTCGCTTCAAGTCAAACAGGAAGTACAGACACATGATATAATCTTACATTAACAATGGCTAATGCTTCTTATCTCTTTATAAATAGCTGTTGCTGTAAGAATTGTTTTGTAACTGACATCTGTTCTAGGATGTAAACCATATGTGATACAAAGGATTATTATTATGTTATATCATTTATGACTTTTCGTACATACCTTTCTGAGACAGTCTGAGAGCCTTTAGAGTGCAGTTGACTGTAAAAAGAAGACATTTTTATATCAGAATATCATTATATTATATCAGATAAAATGGAAATACAAATTTCACTTCAAATTAGATGAAGGAAAACTATCTTCTATGACTATGAACGATACAGCGGGACAATCTTACACAAGGTAAATGGTAGAACAAAATGTTACAATGACAATCTACTTATAATTTAAATACCCCTTGCATACAGCGTTACCTCTGACAGGAAATAATACTCACCAGTACAGTTGGCTGTGTATTCTGTCCCCTATTGAGAAGAAACAAAGGGACAATACAGTGAGATTGTTATTGTCTGGAGTTTGGCAGAAAAACGACATTTTTAAATCTATGTCTTTGGCTTTACATTTTTCGGACCTCTGATGTCTGATGATGAAGTTATCATATCTTATCCATAGTGCCAAAAGAAACTTTCATCTAACTGTTCAACCTCCTAACACAATATTATTATTAAAATTCAGAGAATCTAGTTATTTGCTGCATTGTTTTAACATCTTGTATTTTTGCATAAAAAGAGCTCATGCCTTAAGTCAGTCAAAATATTGTTTCAGATTAAAAGTGTATACCTCTGAGACGCAGCTTCGTGTGAAGACAATGTTGTCGAGGCACTTCAAGATAACAAGAGTATTAATGTTGTTTGTCAACACCAGCTCAGGCATTTCTCCATTCTGGTTCGCAATCACTTGCGTCTTAACATAGAACATAGGAAAAATTAATTAGTAGAGAACACAAATCATTAACAAAAACTCTCAGGCACATGTCTGTCGCAGCGAGGATACAGTGTAACAAGTTCGGCCATCACACGGCAAGTTAAGATAATGTCTTTATGAGTCATTCAGATGAGCCTGTGCTTGGGCCCTGCTACTGTGCAAGCTGGCCAAGTGGCACTGCTTACTAGCACATTTAAATAGAATAGAACAATGTTATACTAAACATACTTATACTAATACTACTACTACTACTAATAATAATAATAATGTTATTAGTTAAAATAGGGTTTTTCTGAAATATGGACAACTGAAAATGTATCATGTCAGAAACGGTGGGCTGTTGTGTCTTGTCTTACTTACACCTGTCCATGAGTACTCGCACTTCATCGCCTTGGCATCTGAGACCCAAGACACATCTGAGATGCTGTACTTCGTTTGGTCATCATCAGTGACTGTACAGTTAATGTTCAGTGCACTGCAAAGTTGCAGGAAGCCTGGGGACAATAAGACAAATATGTCACCAGAAGCAAGATTTGTTTGTGAAATTATCTTCTCTCCAGTTTCTCAATTCTCCATGTCATTATACTGTCCGTAGCAGTCCCTTTCCCCTGTCAGTAGCCAGATTGTGTTGCTTTGTGCCTTTGCATTCAGCCTCTTCCACCTGAATCTGAACCTGCCAGCACCTTTTCCTGACGTGGTCCTATTAACCAAAGGATTCTTGGATATTTCTGTTTGGACTGCTTGCCTCGCCTCTAAGCCTTCCTATCATTTCACTATTACAACTGAACTGCCGAATAAGGGCCGCCCAGATGAACCAATTACACTAAAAAGCACTCATCTGCCAGAAACTGGTTTTTGCCCGCGGGAGCACGCACAGCCTCTTAAAAGTGTGGTTCATGTGAGTTATATTTGAAAGATTATAGCCCACCCGTCGTGTTTACCTGGTGAAATTCCTAATTAAATAGACAGTACAACCCAAACAATGCAGTTTTGCACTTGCAAAAAGATGACTGCAGCTTCAGCCTTGTAACTTAAAGGTTCTTTATGCCTCAGAGTGATTCACGATTGAGGGTTGTATTTAAAGATTATAGCACAGCCGGTCCTTTTTACCTGGTGGAAAGAGTTATCTTTATACAGAGAGCGAGAGAGACTAGCAGACAGAGACAACCTCCAGGAACACCTGAAAACCTCTACGTTACAAATCCATGAGGTTATTATAAAGATCAGCTCTTCGTGTGATTTGAAAAAAAGACGGAGACACGAGCGAGAGTGTAGTGTTTCCGGGTGTGTGCGCGCTACCAATGACGCAATGCCCGCGTTCATATGAATGGGAAGCAAAGCTGAGGCAGCCGACGCGTGAGTGTTGTTAAACAAACGCGGAGGAACGCGGTTTAAACCTCGAACACGTAACACCAGCAACAAAAACATTTCTTACCAATAATTTGTGATCGCTTCTGACAAATAATAAAGAACTTTATCCGGATATTTTAGGCTCGGGAAAAGTTACAAAGGAAATACTGACATACAGTAAATATGCCTAAGTTACATACATAGAAAATACTAAATCTAACGCTACATACACTCAGACCTCCACAAACTTCTGCTTACCAAATCACTACAGGTGACATTGGACCCTAGGAAAAGTTTAAAATAAAGCGGTTAACTGAAACGCTAAAATGTCGCTAAAACCTTCCTTTTAAAAGAACAGTTTATATAGCAGGCATTGTGTAGGCTACGATCTCACGAAACAACTCAGCAGTTTCCTCACGGCTGAGTTAGATATGACCCACCGAGTGGTGCAATTTTGAGTCAGAAACTCTGAGTTAGCGGATTCACTTTGAACAACTGTCTTTGCTGTGCACGGGACATGCGTTGGTTTCAGTTAATCATCTAAATGAAACATTAGGCTACTTACACAAACATAAGCACCACGCCTCGACACGCATCCTCCTCGCGTCCTTGCTATCCAACTGACCGTGTCTATGTTTTTCTTCAGCTGCTTCTGTCAAGTTTTTCTGCCTATCTGTGGGCAGGCTACGCTCTCTTAAATCCAGCACACTTCCGAGTAAACATAGGCACGTGTTTCTCCCATACAAAGAACACGCGCAGAATTTCTCCTGTTAATGTCTCATTGTCTCGCATTCAGTGCCTTGACTGTTAATGTTTTATAGTGCACTATCAAGAGTCCATATGACGCTAATTCTCAAAATATAAACAAGAAACTACATATGCAAACTTGACATAGTTTTGCTGTCTGGTTGACGTCACTTGCTGATGCAAGGTGGTGTGAGTAACTGCAAGTAAAAGGATGTTGATGAAACCTCACGTGCTGTGTTTAATGTCACAGTAGTGAATTGTATTGTTTAATGAAGACCGCTGATCTGATAAAAGTGCACAATAATGGGCATGTTTTTGTGTGATCACCACAATTTTAGCGTGGGGGAGTGCTTAGTTGACAGCTATTTGCTCTTCGTCTCACTATTTAAGATCAATTCATTTCTTTGTACAGCAGTCAACAGATTTCTGGCTCTTGTTGGAAAGAATGGACATTTTCCCCCTGCATTTAATCTAGACTAGGCTACTGAGTGATGAAACGGGATACAACTTTCCTATTCTTTATGTCGTATTATCTTGGCTGGCAAAACTGCTGCAAAGAAATTTGCGGCAACACCATGGAAGCAACCATACACACTTTGCATACCACAAAGGAATTTGTTTTAAGGAGATTTTGAGTTTAGAGAGCTCTGTGGCCAAGACGCAGGGTACAGGATAATGTTAAATGTGAATTAATATCAGAGAGCAGATCAAGGTCCTTATTCCCTAATTTAGTGTTTGATTGCGTTTGAGGTAGTAAGATTGTTGTGTTTTGTTACACTATATGGCACAATGTTACACTAACTGAAGACTAGGGTAGGGTAGCTCACTATGTCTAGTATGGATCTTGTATACGCTATCCTCCTGATGTGTAAATGTATTGTTTTGTTGAGCTGGGATGTGTGTTAGAAACACACACTTGCAGTTGGCTTCTATTAGAAATCTGAAAAACGTTTTTCAAATTCTTAAGTAGCTTAAGCTTTATTCACCTGAGAAACTTAACACTGATTAATGGTTTTGATTAAATAAATAAAGTTATGACTTCATACAAACCATCTTTTGTCTTTTTTTTCTCCTAATGTTAATGGTATTTTAATGATTAATAAACAGTACAACTGGAACGCACCATTAGTCTTCTGCATTTCCTCTTCTGTCCCTGCGGTTGCTGACTGCCTCCCCAGTCTCTGAGGCAATAGACACGCGGTGTCTTGGCTGTGTTCTCGCCTTCTCACCGACCAACCACCTGTTTGGGTCACCCTGCGAGTACTGGCTGGTAAGTAACCCATTATATCTGGATCTGACTGCACAGCTTCTGACATACCACAGACCTGATGTAGGACGTCACCCTCTATATGAGTAGTAATGCAGACATACCGGGCCAGCCAGCTGACCACCTCCTCCCTGCTGGCAGCTACACCGACACGTTCTTCAAGGTGAAACAACACTTCTGCTCAGAATGGTGGCTGAACTGTTTAAATGGTTAAAACATTTAGGAAGTAGCAGAATGTTTTTTTTCCTGCAGAGTTCAAAGGAATACCAGATGGCAACTGGCCCTGAGTCTGAACTATGGGAGAGGTCAGACTCGTGATTGGATAGATTAATTTAGTATCGACTGTCATGTTCTACTCAGTGTGGACGAATACATCGATAAAATGAAGGTCTGCCAGATGGATGAGGAGTAACTAACTCCTGACAACGAGGCTGAGGAGGAGTCTAAATATTGTTCTGATGCCGCAGGCTCAGCCGCTCCTCTGACGGCATTTCAAACATGCCTGACGGAGCAGCAGCTCTGCTGGTGTTGAAGACACTACTGGCTCAGCTGAAGAGGAACCATGCTGTCAGCTAAGATGCAGCCCGTAACGGTCCAGCTGAGGAGATATCAGCCGCTGATGGGTCACCTGATGAAGCACCTGGCATGCACCTGCTAAAGTGAAGAAGAGTCGACTGAAGAGAATCCCGAGGATGAATTGATTGTTTGTCAATAATAACACTAATAAACTGACAGAACAGCTATTAATCTTCCAAATTGTAAAACAACAACAGGATCTCATGTGCCTGTTTGTGCATATCTTTCATTTATGTTTGCTGAACTGGTGTTAAACATGTACATATACAGCAAATAAAGAAGCACAAAAGGCAGTTCAAGTTTAAGAACATAATTTAAGATCTGCATTGCCTTAATCCCTATGTGAATACTGTGTGAGAATATCTGACATTTTACTTGAAAAATTAAACATGAACTATCAGAGTAGTTGCTGATTAATTTAATCTTCATCGCCATTTAATTACCTTTTTAGGTCTAATTTCATTGGTTCAATACAGTTTCAAACAAATGTTCACTGTTAAAAGTGCTTCTTCCAAGCTTGTACACTGGTTGCACTGAGACTAAAGATGCAAGAAACTCACAAAGAGGTAACAGTGATACCATGATGCTTTTGGAGTAAGCGGTATATCTGGCAAATCTGATTCTGGAATAAACATCACACATACTCTGTTTCACTTTGATTGAAATTTATGTTATTTAATGAATTAAATTAAATTCATACACAAACAAACTGCAAAAATAACACTGGGAACACTCCCCGGGAAAAAAATAATAAACTAGCAAAGTCAACGCAACAATATAATTTAACATACAGCGGTACAGTGCCGCTATAACACATTCACACCCTTGGACTTCATGTTTTATTGCTCCAACACTGAATCACAGTTGATTAATGAAACTTACTGACATGGTCAAAAAAAAAGAGACTGTATTGTTGAAGTGAAGACAAAACAACTCTGGACTTCCCTTCCCATCAAAGTCTTGTCAATGAGCCAGAGTGGGAAACATGACTGGCTTTCTTTGAAATGTGGTGATATAGGGGGCTTCACAGTTCTCTACAACGTTGGGAAATCTTGAGATGTACAAGACTGTAGTCAACATCACAGTGAATACAACATCAGGAATGCTCCTGTGATTCTAAGTTGTAAAACAATAAAGCATGAACCAGTCCAAGTGGGAGTTTGAATAGAGGCACTGTATATAAGCCTGGAAAATAAGTTTGATGCGTATGGACATTAAAATTCCCTTATATGAAATATGTGCTTTTTAAAAATGGATGAATGTTGAGTGCAAAAATAGATTTTGCAATAGAAAAAAAAAAAAAAGATTGTCATTTTGTTCTTTTTCACTTTCACACAAACACTCTTTGATCAAAACATACACACAATTTTTTTTTAAAGCTTAGCCCAGAAAAAGGCTGAATTCTTGAAGCACATAGGTAGTAACTTTATGGGAACTGGTTCATTGCTGACTTTTCCCTCTAATCCAGTTTCTCCATCTCTAAGTAAATCAAATATGTGACAGTACCCTTGATGACCTTTCCCTTGATGAGCTGTTCCAAACGTAACTCACGTCATAGTTCTCATATCTCACCTTGTACATTTATATACTATACATCCGCACACATACACAAACATACACTTTCTTTAACACAATGTACACAAGCACATACCACAAACACATTACAAACAGTGAACAGGTAAACATACACAAAAAAGGAAGTAATACACTGACTGTAACAAACATTAAATGACTGCATGTTTTTTCATAGAAAAGGGATAAATTGGTTTGTATTGCTTTGGCCTTTTCGTGAGAACCCTGCTCATGTTGTCCTTCTGTGGTTGTGTGGATCCAGGAGCATCAGAGAGCCACTAGACAGCAGCACTGAGAGGACTTGGCAGCAAGGAGAAGACGGGAAACCTTACTGATGCCATAAATGTTCGTTTTGTCACTTCTCCAGTTTCCACCATTTCCCCTCGTCTTTCTCCGTTTTCCCTTCTTGGCAGAGGCTTCACATTAGAACCCAAAAGTGTCTTTTTGTGCAGGGAACTCTGAGTCCTCTTGGTCCCATTTGCCTGGGGACAGGCACTCTTCAGTGTTGAAGTCCTGAGGGTTTACCCCAATGTCCAGGACCTGGGGGTTAGTGCGAGACTCAGCGAGTCTAGAGGAACAGAGGAAAAGAGACATTTTATTAGCTGCTACGAGGAAACCTGGGTAGTGATCAAGATAACTAATGACAAGATGTTACTAATTACAATTCATTACACAAAAAGCTCGTGAACAACGTTGGGTATAGTGCGTACAGAATTTATGGACATGAACATAGGCTACACAAAAGAACACAGTGGCATCTCTACTTGTAATGAAAAGAATCATAATTTTAAAAAAAGCAAAGCAACATGTGGCAATAAAATGATTCCCTATGTGAGCTATTCATGGCAACGCAACATGAAGCCGCCCTAACACACGTCCAAAACCTTTTTTTAAACACCATGTTAACATGTCAGACCTACATGTCAACACACACACCATCTCTCATCCACTGGCATGCCACTAACAGGGAGCAAATCTGATGGATGTGAGGCGGGGACACACAAAACATTTGTGATGAAGACGTGTACACAGTGGCAGACTACATCAGGTTCTGCGGCAGAGAACCTGCCACATGAAGCTCAGGAGTGGATCAAACTGTGGAATGACATGGAGGAGTTTCTCCCCTTGGTGTCTTGTTAATGGTATGTGGCCTTGAAAGAAAAGGTGAAACTACATGAGTCTTAATCAGCCTGGTTGAACACTGATATCCAGACAGATGAGGCAGAGGCGTGAATAGTGGGTAGACTACAGGAGAATGAGGTGGAAGTCATTAGATCCAGTGAATGACATCGTTACCTGAGTAGGATTCAAAGCTATCCAGACTGCGGCTAGGGGTGCAAAGGAAACATCACAAGTCAGGCAAAAATTAAAGTCGGAACTATTCTGAACAGCTTTGTGATAATGTGAATGGGTTTATATGGCCAGTGTGACTTTTAGTCCAAATCACTATGATTAGAGTTGACCAAAATAAGACATTAGGGTTGACCGTAATTATTATTAGTAAACATGCCTATTTTTCTTCAGTCTTTGCTGGAAAGAAAACATACATACATCATACTGGGGTACATCCCAAGTCTCTTTATTGCATCCATGTTTCCCTCACTTGTGTGTTTTCCTTGCTCTTAAGCTGATGATACACAGAGCAACATTCAGAGCAATCGTACCCGTGTATCATCAGCTTTAGTCCCTCCCACGGGGACGCATGAAGAGACGCAAGGAAACCGCGTAAGGGGAGAAGAAACGAGGAATTGTGTTTTTAGAACTATCAGACGCCCTTTGCTCTGAAGTGTCACATGGAGCGACGTCTGTTTCTGATCACAGATTGATGGAGTCTGTGATCTGTCCTAATACTAAGTAAGGCACAGTCACTGACAGAGCAGCATGTTTTCTAGCAGGAATTAGAGCTTTGGGATGGCCTTCAAGATGGCGGGCCAAAACAACTTCCTGTTAAAGCAAAGATTGAGGAGCGAGGAAATATGAAATAAGACACTTGGGATGTAACCATACTGGACTGTTTCCCACTGTGATCGACAGGCACTTCTAAAGCATCTACAACATGGATCATCTCCGCCAGCAGGTGGCAGTGCAGTCTCTTTGTCACTACTACAACCTTTACCAACTTTAACAAACACCTGCACATGAAGACCAACTTGTGTATTTATACTGTGTCCTACTCAGAAGCATAGGATCATTTCTACTGGTACAATGTGTTTCTATTATTTATTCACTGTTTGCATCTGTATTTATGGATATTCTGTGAATTGATTATTGAATAACCCAGAATATGATCATGGCGTTTAATCTGATATGAAACTCCAGTGATGTTGTGATGCATCAGATCCATCCAATCAGCTGCAGCCTCCAATCAATAACTGATATCCAAAAAGGTGGTGTGTAAAAGACTTCTGTGAAGGCTGCTCTTGTAGCAGAAATAAGAGCTTTGGGAAGAAAAACGGCGAAACAAGAAGACGTCCAGTTCAAGCGAGGATTGAGGTGCAATGAAATATGATATGAGACTTGGGATGAACCCATACTGGACTGTTTCCCCACTGTGATCAACAGGCACTTCATAGGCATCGACATCAGTTATCAACACTCCGCCAGCAGGTGGCAGTGCAGTCTCTCTAATAGCAACACAAACGATCTTCACCTGAATTTATCTGCAGTTCATACTGAAAAGGACAGTGACAAACCGGCTCATCTAAGTGAATTTAATAGTCACTCATCAAAAAATGAAAATGAATTAAACTTAGTAACAGTCACTTCAACCTTCATAATAAAAATGTTGGTGCTCCAGTAAGGGAGGGATGTTTTTATGATGCCCACAACTCCCTGGCCTGTTACATGATCTCTATGTTGGGAGGGAGGAGCCCGTGTCTATGATATTTACATACAGGGTACTTTGATCAAATTGAGGAGTGTCACAAGGAAAGTATAAAGAATAAATAAAATACTGTATGGTGCATGTGTCTCTAGAAGTTACACCCTCTGACCCATGGATCTCTGCTGTTTATAGTCTTTTTTTTCCTGAAAGATAGAGCTTACTCAGAAAGAACAGTGATGACAAGGCACATTTATGTTACTCAACTATAAACCATCCCTTAATCCGGAGCTTAATTCAGTCTCACGCAAAACTATGTGTGCCACACACCAACTAGAGATAGAGTGAAGATAAAACAAACACCATCTTTCTGTAACATTTTCATTCACAGAATGAGGAAGTGTCTAATTTTCTCTTCCACTGTGACACCAACATCAACCAGTACAATAAGCTGATCCTGGTGGACAAAGACGTCAACCTTGCTCGCGGGTCCCTGAATTTCCTTCCATTACAGAAATCTACATGTGGATGCATCTCTGCTTATGCTGCGAGCATCCTCATTAATCACAGAGCTGGAGGTTAAGGGCGTCAGGGTGTAATTACAGTGTGTGCAGAAAAATAATCACCTGATAACCGGGCTAAAATGGCCTCTTAGCGCTTGATTACAGAGACCGTGAAGCCTATCCTCCCTTTCACTAAAAGAAAGCGAGAGAATGACCATCAAATTAACAGAGGGAATGAAAAGCAGAGCCAATGGAAATAAACGCACCAACAAAGTGCTGAACAAGTCCCTGTCGTGGTCCGAAACAAACCTCTGTTAACAGTTGCACTTTGCAACCTGCTGCAGACCACCACAACTTATCGGAGTGTGCCATTACACACGCCGATACAGACTAAATTCAAACATTAATCACAGTGGACTCAGTTCTGATTAGTTTGAGGGCATAGACTTTGAACCTGCTAATGCTGAGACCTGACCGCAGATTCTTGTCATTGTGCTTTTATTCTATTACAATGGGAATTTTACACCGCAAAATAAGTTAGTTTGGGTTTGGGATATAAATCATAAACTATGTGTCCCTCAGCCACTTCCACTTGTGATCAGAAGCTTTCTGAGTTCAGGAAATCAGTGTGTGAGCCTGACATGATGGTAAACGGAGCCTACAACAGCAGCATGACTCAGGGCGGATGTCGGATGTGCCCGGGCCTGTAAGCTGAGCCTGTCTCCTGCCTGTGCGAGTGCACCGGGCCGAGCCGAGCAGAGGGAGAGGGAGTGTTTATTACAAGGGCGGCCCAAACCACAGGCGGCTATTTCCAGAACAGCAGCTTGTGTGGCTTTTTAGCAGAGCCCCAGCTTTAGGGAAAACCCAAATCCACACCGATTCTCACCTTGAGAAAGCCTCGTCCAGACCGTCCTCCAACTCCTGCCAGATACAACATAAACATACTGGTTAAAGACAAAAGTGTCGACAGATGATAAGTAAACAATGCTTATTTGTAAGATGTTAATACACTCACTCACACATGCACACAGCCACCCTGTTGCCACTGTTCTCAAGCCTAAAATGAGGTTAATCTAGGCTACTTGCAGCCCACACCCTCTCTAACTATGTGGCCATTTGATGAGTCCAGTTCTGTTCAATAGGCTATTGTCTAAGTCCACATAGAAGCGGTATAACTGTAGAGTTCACTTCTCTGAATATAGTAGGTACAGTACATCACTGGGCTAATTAATCAGTGTTTCCTGCATGGCATTCTTCCCTTCCCATCTTATCAAGCTAAAACAGCTGAAACTCACTGACCAGCCCAACCCTTGTCTTACCCATACAGTATTGTTGTTCTCTGTTTCGTGATTATGCACCATAAAGGGATCCGAGTCGGTCTGCTTTGTTCCTGAGTGGACCAGCGCCACGTTGGCTCCCTCTGCCAAATCCAGAAGTTTTCCCGTGGCTACCTCTGTAATACGAAACACACACACACACACACATTTAGAAAATGTCCATATAAATGCAACCTTCCACACTCAACGTTTTAGATTACATCCCTAGCCCAGAGACAACAGTGTAATAATATGCTCCAAGTACCCATCTGATTGGATCCTGTAATCATCATACTCCCATGCAACAGAAACAGCAGCATGCACGTCTATGTCCATACCATTTGTAGAGGTCCACTTTTCTTTCTTAAGCCGCTAACGTATCTCAGTGGAACATCACGATGCAGCCATCTGTGTATTGTCACTTTATGATAAGTGAGCACACGGTAACCCCCTGACTTGCACGCTTAACCACGGCGACACCGCTGATCTGTAATGGGATTGGCTCCTAATGGCCTTGCCTCATGATTAATGTGTATCAATAATGCGTGTCAACACTAATTTCTGTCTAGTCTTTAGTCTTAGTAGAACAGTGAAAACTCCATGACACTTCTAATGCTACCACAACTTCACTGTCATGCACGCTCTCCTCAACAGAGAGGCCTTTATTCTGCTGTTATGAAGAAGGCAGTATTGTGTGACTGGGACTATTGTTCAGGGGACTGTTGTAAAGCCCCCTAAATTAAGGTGGAAGTGGGGCTCTGGGAGGAAACACCCAGCTGGCATATTTAACAACAGCTGCAACAATTAGTCGCTAAACTGATCGAAAGACAATTCGTCTGCAAATATTTTTATAACCGGTTTCAGTTTTATTTTGAGCAAAAATGTCAAATATATTGTGTTTTTCTTTGTCAGTTATGATTGTGTTGGACATTTGGCCAGAGAAAGATGTCACTTTGGGCTCTGGGAAATTGTGATGAGCATTTTCACTTTTCTGTTGACATTTTATCTACTGATTAATTCAGAAAATAATAATCGTCAGATGAATCACTTATGAAAATAATTGTTCTAACAGTTAACCCTGTGAAGATGAGTAGATTAAAAGGATGATCAGTTTCATGCAGGCAAAGTCCACTAACAATCAGGGTCACACAGGAAGAAGTGGCATTTATATTTGGTATCCACTGTGAGAGGCCTGGCACCGGGAGGGAGAACTGAAAGGATCATGTCTCGTGAATAAAGCTGACTCACCCCTGACAACACCACTGATCCTGAGACTCCCCCTGACTCAGTGGCATGTCATTTGATCAGCCAAAGTGAAGGGTACACAAATGTAACCTTCCGATAGCTCTTAAGCTCTGCTGTCCCCAATCACTGCCTTAGGGCTAGCGGTGAAAAGCTCTGGCCAGAGAGAAATGCTTGTCCATTTCAAAAGGCACTCAGAAGCTTCTGCCATGTACTACTCCGCAGTACAATTACGTCAATTTGCTTCACAGAAATACAATCCGCTGGCAGCCGAATGACCCCGCCAAATGGTCAGTGGGATAATGTTGGTCCAAAAACGCACACCAAGCCTCTCTGCCACCAGAATCTGTTTCCAAGTCCTACTTTGTTGGGTCTTCTCACTGCGGATCATCCTTGAAACCTGTGTCGGCCATAAAACACTACACATTCAGGGCCACAGCCCCAAATAAAGTGTCAGAACAGATTTAGAGAGATCCCTCTCTGGCTGGAGGCCACCTGGCCAGGCAGAGGTGGGGGCGGGGGTGAGGTTGGGGGGGGGGGGGGGGACTCAGTACAAAGCTGATGTTTTCAGATGTTGCCTGCTAAAAGCAGTGGAGGGATGATGGTACATACAGAGGCCACTGGCATATGAAGTGGGACGGGGAAAAGGTATGCGCAAAACAGAAAGCATTATGAGGAATAAGTGTACACAGCCATTGTGCCACTGGCAACAGGATACTCCTCATCTCATTGTATTTCAGGCTGTGGACAATACATGGAGCTAATAACGCCTTTAGGGTTAAGTTGTCTGGCTCACTGGAGGTCAGCCGCATGTTTAGAAAGCATGTCGTGAGTCTCAAGTCCTGGAATCTTAGTAAATCTGATGAACAATGTGGTCACAGAAAATGTAGGCCTCCTTCCTGCTTTTTACACAAACAATCGTATTCTCTCACAGTTTTAAAACACATTTACAGTTTGTCAATGAGCAACTCTCATTATGATAAAATGTCACGGGGATCGATGAAACAAAATATCTTTTTAATGGCTCTACAACACGCCAATGGGGCTTAATGTTTTCAAATTAAAGACAGCAACATCATTGCCATCATCATCATCCTACATAATCACCTAAAAATATAATTTGCTATTCACTGTAATAATGTTGGTAAGAAAAAATAACCTAGAAAACACTGATTGTTGTCAGATGACATAAAGCCTCAATATAAGCAAACCTTTGACAAGTGGCTGAACACTCCTACTTCCCCTTAGGCTACGACTGCTGTGACATAGAGGGTCAGAGAGAGTGAGAGAGAGAGAAAGACATAATGATGGGTGACATGACTCACCTCCTCCCTTCAGGCTGCCCAGGCTGGCCGAGCTGTCCGACTGGGAGTTGCTGGCTCCCTCTCCGTCTGAACCTGACTTCACTCGCTTCTCTTTTTCTGTGTGGGGAACGGCAGGGGGGTTGAGGAAGACAGAAAGAAAAAAGAGCAGTCTGTGAATCTATGATTCAGGAACCTGTAACCACAGGGTGAGTGCCCTTGACGTGCATCGCTAAAGGAACGGTTTACTTGTCGGCTGAAAATGTGGGTATTAAATGTTTCACTAACCAAGCATATAATGTGTGTAAACAAATTAGCGGCAGTAAATTGGCAGATAAGGTTTAGGCCATTACTCATGCCATCTGCCAGCAGAAACCTAGAGGGCCTGCGAACACTGTAACACGCATCATCGTTCAATACAGCAGTTAGTACAGGAACAGCAGCATTTAAATAGAGTGGGCATAGCATCTGGGTCAGATGGATAATAAGCTCTGCTCGCTCCAAACATGCTCACCTGCTAGGAAGAAGGTTTTCCACACAGTGCAGGTCACCAAGTGCAACTGACAACAGCTTTCACTGTATTTTCTGCTCTCTTAAACTCAAGAGTAGAGTAGAGTAGTTTCAGGGCCCAGATCTATCAAGCATTTCAGAATCATTCCTAGGAATTGCGCAGAAAGTTAAACTAGGACTTAAAAACACTCCTACAGCCGAGTGGGACTTGAGACTAATCTATAAAGCCTCCTACACTGACTTTCAGCAAGGAACAGGACTACTCTTAGGAGCGGGTGAGACGTTGCTGTTTTACACTCAGAGCAGCAAAGTAGAAATCACGATGACATATTGTAAAGCAATTGCAATTCGGATGCCAAAAATATCACTTTATGATGTGTATGTTTTGTGTGCGTGTAGGTAAATAATTAAGGTAACCTACTAATAGGGTTGAACGAGATGCAAAAAAATATTGCGATACGAGTCACGATTTTATGGGAATTTTTTAATTCAACTTTCACAAGAAAACAATTAAATAGAATAAAAATGACGACAATGTGATTTTTGGTCTGTACCAAAAAAGCAAGTTCCCTTACATCTGGAGAATATGATTTGCAGGCCAGGGCATCTCTGCAACAATGCTTGATTTATAATGGTATGTTGCAACACATTTCACCTTTATCATATAATTGCAGCTCACCCGGCTTGGATATTGCACTCGGCCATATTGCAATGTCAATAATATTTTAGTTAATTGTTCAGCCCTACCTACTACGGTTATATATACAAAAATATGATGATAACATGAATTATAAGATAATTACAAATATGCAAATTAGTAAGCTGTAAACAATAAATGCAACCTAAAATAGGAAGTAATTTCACTCAGCTGTGGGAAATAGACCAACCCAACCATATCATTTTACACTTCCTATAATGGTAATGCTGTATCTTGCACATATTTCACAGACACGTTTCAAACCCTCTGTGCACTGTGGTGTGCCGCTCCATGACAAACATGGGATCTTCTCTTCCACTGTCCAATTCATCTTTCAGATACACCCCTTGTTAACTAATGTGTCCAACATGAGGGGGGAAGTTGTTATTTACGCAGTGTCACACAGTCTTGGGAAATTCACTGCATCAATATGACAACAATATATTTCTGTTGTCATATTGTGTATTGTCTTCATTCAAAAATTATAGGCCACTACTATCTGAAATAGAAAAATAATATAATATATACGGCACATAAAATATTTCACCCGTTTTAATTAAGCTGAGATATCCTTCATTATGCAGCTGACATCTAGCCAGGGGGACATGATTGTGTTTAAATAAGTTTTAAATAAGTTTTAGTCTGCTCTCACTGAGGACCCTCATGTGCATTATGAGGCACAGAAGCGCAATCAAAGTTTGATTTATTACTGCTGGAGTTGTTGGCTCTGACAGAATCCGAATCAGAAACAGTTGATATGTAGCTGTATTTTCCTTGTTACAAGTCTAATGTTGTTGGGATCACTTTCTGTAGGGACAGCCTGTTTCTTTCCCCTGTGCACAAGGAAATATTACTCAGTTTTTGTCAAAACAATCTGTCAGTAAGAATATTGTTTCAAAACGTCTCTCCTCACAGAATGTGTCAGCCTGAATGCCATCTCCTGCCTACTTAGGCAGGTTTGGTCTCCTCTGGAGCTCTCCTAGATATCAGCAGAGACAGGAGTGGTTTCCCAAGTTAAGAAAGTTAATAAAATGCTTTAACCCCTAGTCCTCAAAGTAGGACCAAAATGCATCACTCTAAAAACATTTGGCCAGTTAGTAGCAATTTTCTATGGGCCCATATTTCTTTAATGTACAACAACAACTGAGTCTACCTCACAAATGTATACATAAACACCCATCTCTGCCTTAACTAAAATATCACAAGAAAGTCACAAGAAAACATGAGCCTTCTGAGCAAGCGTGATAAGAAGAAGACACCTACTGTAACTCAGGCTTTCAACACTGTGGCTACAGATTAAATATCCATTTCTGTCTATCCTGAAGAGAATTGCCTACAGCAAGGAGGTGTTTTTCTATTTCATCATGCCATCTCCCATGAGCCCAGGTATTTTAGTGATGGCGGTGTTACAAACATTTCCCTGGGCAACTGTCCCCCCCCCCCCATGGCTTTTCCAGTGAGTAGTTCTCAGTCTGACTTGAGCAACTCACTCCTGCTAAACATGGAAGCAACTTAAAGATACACCACTTCAAAGCTAGCTGTGGTGTTTACAGTGAATATTCTATGAACAGAGATGGGAGCTGAAATATACAGAGGAATGTGGGTCAGGAATGTGTGGTGGGCTGTGGAGAACCACTGTGGGTGGTGGAGGAGAGTTTGTAAGAAGCAGAAGCAGAAGCAGCAAACTAGACAGACATACAGTAGATAGACCCCTCTTCCTGCCCTGATCCTCCGGGGGCTTGTAACTTCAATGAAACAGACACGAAAGGATTTTTTCCCCCCTCCGTATCTCTCTCTCTTCTTCTCTACCACATGAGAACTACCTCTTCCTTTCCCCTGCATAACCCCTACCAGCTAGGCATCAGTTTTCCTTCATCAGTGACACCGTAGTGAACTAAAAGAAAACAGCTTCGCTAATTAAACGGGTTACTGGGCCCTCATAGAAAATTACGACGAGGAGGGTGAAGAACAGTGAGAGTAGGAAAGTGCACGCAAGGCTGCAGATTTTAATATTCAACTCATAAATACAATCAACTAAAAGAAGAGGCGTGAGACAAGGAGCCTGTGGCCTTCGTAAAAAAATAAAAAAAATAATCCCTCCCCAAAATGAAAATGTGGCCACATTAAAACATTCCTAAACACCACAGAAGAAGTAGAAGTAGAAGAAGGGGTAGAAATGTGGAGTAAATAAAAAAAAAAGGCTGCTATGAATTGAATAAATAAGCTCGCCTTCACGTGAAACAGGATCAATGGCACTGAATCTGTCAGGGGGGCTGAGCTCCCACTGACACACGTGCACAATCATTTTCCTTTCTCTCTTACACACTCCCCCCCCATCACCCCTCTGTGCCCCGCCTTTCATGCTCTCTTGCCCTCTCTCCTCATCCACCATCCCCCTCTCTCTCTCTCCTCTTCTTCACCCATCTCGCACCTTATAATAAAAACAGAAGCGAGCGCTGCGATGGGAAAAGAAAATAACTCGACAGGGAAGGTGAGGTGAAGACGCCAGGTGCTAAACAACACAGACAGCAACAATGGATAATCACAAAATTCAAAGAGCACGTACAAGGCAACACACACATGTAAAGATGAAGAAGATAGCGGGGGGTGGGGGGTGCAGAGACCAATATTATGTGGCAAGAACTGCTCATTTACTCTGGAGTCATACATGCAGTAAATTACATGCATGTTCTGCTGAGCTGTACAAAAGAATGTGTGTGACACCAGCCTCACACTGCGCTTTGATTACCTGCTGTGTCCACGGTGGAGCCTGAACACGCACTGTCTGCTGATCTCCCTCGCTGAAGTCTACTATTAAAAAGGTGCTAATGCATTTAAGGAGGTTGAACGCTTTTTACAAGTTTTACATAAAAACTGAAAAACATAAAACTAATGAGGAGAAAAAGAGAGTTTTCACAGTAAAGATAAGATATAACCAGGGAAGAACCCAGCTCCCACATTCCTATTCTCACTGTAAGCGAAACAGAGAAGATTTACTCAAGTCACTCCACCTCTGCCCCAGGCTAACCTTAATTCCTCCCTATATCGATACCTACATGAGTCTTTAACCATGACTAAGTTGCCTGTAATAAAGAGGTGTCACTAAACTAAAACAATCTCTCTGCTGTCTGGGCAATGATTTAACCACCACGAGGGGTGGTGGGCTGGTTCAATCAATGGAGACATTCATCTACTGTATGTGTGTGTGTGTAAATGTGCGTGGGTCTGTGAAGGACAACAGTGAATGACAGGAACAGTCGAATAGTGCCCCTCTAGAGGCGTCAAGGCCGTCACCAGGAAGACACAAGAAAATGTAAATTTCCATGCTGAGAGGGAAAGACAGGATCATTGTTTAGCCACTAAGAAGGAAGGTAAAGGATGTATGCAAGCGGAGAGAATAGCAACAGCAAAGAGAGGAACGTTTTCACTCATCCGTCACACTCCTCTGGTCGTCGGGGGTGACCATGCGTACCTTCCTTGGCAGCCTGCCAGAATTCAAACGCCACTCTGAAAGCCTGAGCCCTGTTAGGGTTACCGCCTGGGCCTGTTGGAAGGAGCAGAGAGACATAAGAGTGAGACAGTGATAAAGTGAAAGATAAAAGGATGATGAATAATACTCTGAATAACGCATCTGATATACGGGAGGACAATTCACGAAACTCGAGGAGCTAGGACCCTGATAAAGACGGAACTGACCACCAACACATGGGGGTTCCTTTACAGACATTTGAAGAGGAGGAAGCGAAACGG